ATTTTTTTTAAAAAAAAATCATAATTAGTATACAATTATATTATCTATTGGAATAAAATAAAAAAATAAATAAGAGGTCAAACTGTAATGAACACAATAAATAGTATAATTGTATAATAATTATATTTTTTGAAGAAAAAATTAGATTTTTATTTTTGATTTTATTGTAATAAATGAAATAATAGAACATGAATTTTTGCTATAAAATTTAAAATATTTGATATTCTATTATTGATTAAATTTTTTTTGGTCTAAGTGTAGCATTTTAAACTTGAGGGGTTTAAGAATTATACGCATATAAACTTCAAGAGATCTGAATATAATTTAGCAACGGATATTCTAACAGACGATTAAATCACAAACTTCAAAGGATTTAGATGAAATTCTCCAAAAAAAAAAAAGGATCATCACCCGAAGAAGATAATTATTGGTGTAAACTAAAATTTTCATACGATCACATTTTGATCTTGAAATTTGAAAAGAACGTGGATGGCAAAAAATTGTTGGGAAGCATATTCTGAGTTATATGTTCCGCATCCTCAAATAATACAATTTATTCTCACCTGTCTATAATTTTTTTATTTCTTTCAATATAATCGATGTTTTTCCATCACAATTTAAAAATTTACTACTGTAATTTAAAATTAATATTTATAAACAATGAAAAACCAGTTGCCCGTTTTAGACCAACCAGGCATTATCAGTTGAGTATCCGTTAAAGACCCAAGCCAACGGGTGACCGGTCATCTTTTTCTTGCCTGGGCCCCTTGCATTCCTCTGTAGAGCTCCGTCTGTTCAGGTCTTAGCATTGTCGGCAAAGCGAGTGAAAATTTTAAACTTCCAAAAATTCCCCCAACATCTAATTTATTTTCTATAGAGTACCCAACCCCATCCCAGTTCAGCAAATGAATCCAAAACAATTCCCCAACTCCCGCGATGTTTTCTCTACCCAATTTCTTAACTTCGGCCGTGACCCCCAACCCTCTTCCCCCTGTTCCGGCGTTGCCCCACCCCCGTTCCATGACATATCCCAACTCCTATAGTCCCTCACCCCCATACCCAACACTAATATTACTGCGAAATCCAAAACCCACCTCAGTAACCCCTCACCTCCATACCACTCCCCATCAACTTGAAGCACCATAAATTTCTCCTTCTTTCCTTATGCATTGACCAGTCAACCATGACACATCTACACAAATTCTCCCTCTCTCTCTCTCTCTCTTCAGATGGGTGCTGCCTAGTGAAAGGTAGATTTCTTTTGGGGTTGGGTTGTTTGGGGGCTACTTTTGGGTGTGGGTGTGGGTGTGGGTGTGGGTGTGGGTTTTGGTTTCATTGGAGGAGGAAAGAGAGTTGGAGTAAGGGTGGGTGTGGGTTTCGATTTCATTGGAGGAGGGAAGAGAGTTGGAGTAAGGGTGGGTTTCGATTTCACTGAAGGGGGAAGATTAGGTTTCAACAGAGAGGAGGGATTTCAGTTACTTGGGGGTGGGGGTGGGGGTGGGGGTGGTTTCACCAAAGGAGTAGGGAGTTGGGTTTCACCGGAGCAATCTCCGACTTTTTGTGTAGGGAATTGAATTTTTTATTTTTGTTTTATTTTTTATAGTAAATATTGAGATAAGGGTAGTTGTGGGCTTTTGTTTAATTTTAGGTCACTTGAGACTTTCGTGATTAATTTCCATCTTTTGTTAATGATGGCTTACTAAGTAAGGGTTAATTGAAAATTATTCAAACGTAAAAGGAAAAATTGTCAAAATTAAAACTAAAAAGAATTAATTACAACATGATCCAAACTTGGAGCATTCATTTTTGTAATTAACCCATAAAACTACTATTTCCCATATTTTGCCAACAGTTTAAAACAAGAGCTTGTTTCTTTCAATGTTTCAGCTGGATGGGATTTGGAGTATCCAATCTAATCTATTTCTACCCATGGGTTTGATTGTATACTACAATGCAATGCGTGGGTATTTTACTTTTTTGTAATACCATACTACTGGTTATCCTGTGCAATATATGTTATTATCAATCAGTTTCTCCCACCGATTTACCACCACCCTGCCCCTATGAACAAAAATGTAAATTAGTTAACAAATATAATGAAATATTCAAATTTAAAATATTTTTAAAAGATAATTAGAATAATTAGATAAGTCACATGAAAGAATTTAATTGAATAAGATCAACACATTTTTATTCAATAATTTAAAATTAAGAGAAATTAGTATTTGAGAAGGGAAGACTTTGTAAGCATTCTCTCTCCTAAATTGATTTTGATAACATTTAGTATAGATATACATATAAGTTTGAAAGAAAATTGATATAATATATATATATTAGTTATTGTCTGTACATGAAGGCATAAAGTAATAAAAAATGGTAAACAATAAATATATTTGTATTTATATCCAAAATTAAATCGCAAATATAGAGAAGAGATAAAAGAATTTAAACATAAATTTGTAGTGGGGGTGAGAGATAGTAGTCAGTGGTGGTGGTGGTAGGAGACATTAATAGTTGTGGTGCTGGTGGCGACGGTAGGGGTGGTGCTGGTGGCAAGGATGACGGTGTTGGTGCTGGTGGCAGCGGTGACGGTGACGATGGCTGCGGTGGTGGCGGCGATAGTGACGGTGGTGGAGGTGAGGGCAGTGGTGACAGTGGGGGTGGTGGTGATAGCGGCGACGACGATAACGGTGGTGATGGTGGCGGCAACAATGGTGGTGGAGGTGGCGGTGGCGGTGGTGGGGGGTGGCGGTGGCGGTGGCGGTGGCAGTGACAGTGACAGTGGCGATGACAGCGACGGCGGTGGTAGTGGTGGTAGAGGTAGTGATGGAACCGTTCAAAACAATATTTTTATTTAAAGTACTTATGAAAAATAATTTATAGAAACACTTTTAAAAATTACTCCAAACACATTTTTAGGGGGCTATTTTTTCATATTAAATTTGGAGTTTTAATATTAGCCATTAGATTAACTTTAAAATAAAATTTAAAACGATCTCAACTGCGAATAACAAAAATCATTTTGTTTATCTTTTGAGATTTGAATTGTAAGCTACTTTATTATTTATATATATATATATATATATATATATATATATATATATATATATATATATATATATATATATATTCTTATAAAAAAGAAATGAATATTAAAAGAGACCAATGAGAAGTCACCCAACATTGCTAAAATTTATAAAATTTTGAATTGTATAAATTAAGGATTGAAAGTTTGAGATTATCTGGCCAAACTACATTTTAAATGGAATATAAAGATACTCTATGGTATAACGTAAATGAGATGTAGACCACAGCAAAAATTGGCGCGAGAATATTAATATTACTTTATAATCTTGCTGAAAAACTAATCCTACAAATTTTAAGTAGTGTCTAGACTATTTTAACCTTTATTTCACCCTCTTATCATATTCTTATCGTTCAACTATAGAATATATAGTGGGTGTTTGCCACATCTACTTTCTTGTCACAAGCATCTCTAATAGGTGCTTTATTGCCAATCAGTTATCTATTTTAGAAAGTCTGGCCGTTAAAATTAAATCTCCAATAGACTCTTTATTTATACTCATTTAAGAAATTTAGGATAAAATATATCTCAACACTAAAAAGAGAGGAAAAAAAATAAGGGAACTCAAATTTATTCCTAAAAAAGGCAAAATATAAAAAAATCTATATAATAAAGTATAACACAATTTTTTTTATCAAGAAAATAAATAAATAATATAATTTAAATTTTCAAAAATAAACAAAAATGACTTTTGTATTTAGCGATTAAAATCTCTTTAAATTTTGCTTTAAAATTAATTCAACAGTTAATATTAACACTCCAAATTTAATAGAAAAAATAACTCCATAAAAATGTGTTTTGAGTGACTTTTTCAAAGTGCTTCTGCGACTGATAACTTCTCATAAGTACTTTTAAAAAAAATAAGTGTTTAGAACTGTCCCACCCCCACCCCCACCGCCACTCTAACACCACAACTACCCCCCTCCCCCATCACCACCCCCACCACCATCATCACTATCATCATTCCACCACCATCTTTGTTACAACAACCACCACTACTGTTGCCGCCACCACCACTGTCGCCATCCTAACATCACCAACGCCCCACCACCATTATCCCCACTACCACCACAATTACCACCACCGATACCCCACCACCACCACCACCACTACTACCGTCACCCTACCACCAATGCTATTGTCCCACCGCCCACTGCCCCACCGTCAACTCCCACCACTACCATCGATCACTACCATCGTTGCCCACCGCCATCCACTACCAAAATCCACCATCACTCATCATCTCCCACCACCACCCGTCATTGCCCATCACTGTTGCCACCCACTGTCATCCAACCCTCACCACACTTACCACCACCACCACGGCTGTTATTAGCCACTACCTATTACTTTATTACTTAGAAGCACTCGTCATCATCCACCACCACAATCCACCACTGCCACCACCATCGTCGTCGCTCCACCACCATCACCGTCGCCTAACACCACCCACAGCCACCATCACCACTGTCGTCATTCATGACTATCACTATCACCATCATTACCCAAAACCCACCACTAACATCACTGTTGCCGCCCACAACTGTCACCACCACCATGGTCGTCTGCACCCACCATCACCGTTGCTGTCCACCACCACTTCCACCGCTCACCCCAAATACAATTGGTGATTATTTTTTTTATAATTTCACACACGAAAAATAAAGAGTCATATTGAAGTGATATACAAAATTTTAGTATCTATTTTAACTTTTTATAAAAAAATGTTCTTTATTTTAAAAAGATGTTCTCTAGAACACTATTGGAGATGCTCTAAAAGTATTTTAGAAGGAATGGTAAGCAAACAAAACTTCTGGAAGTGCAATTACTTCTGGAAGAATACTAGTTACTTAGAAATACACAAAAAACCCAATAACAAAATACAATTGATTAATTTACCAAAACAAATACAGTTGGTTAATAAGTGAGATTATTGTAGATGCGATAAGATAAACAAGTCAAGTTAGTGTCGACAAATATTAAACACAAAACGACATTTATATAAGATGACTTTGATTGACTTCCCTACACACACAAGCACATAAAGTAGAACTCGCAAGGAGGAGCTCGAACTCGAGGATTAACATGTTCATCATCTATGTCAGTTCAGTTCAATGAATTAAAAAAAATAAAAAAAAATCACAGCCTTCGTTCTCAGTCAATTTGTGAGTACGAAGAGCCTCAGATACAGGCAACAGTCTTTTCAAACTAGCCAAGTTTCCAGCCTTAGTAGCTCCAAAGACAAACATTTGATCTATGTTGCAATGATCCAAGCACCAAATCATGCCAGAGATTTCCATTTCTAATCCTCATTAATTAACAGGAAATTATAAAAGATTTTGGCCACCCAAATCCTGGGCAGCCACTCCACCTACTTTAAAGAATCATCGAACACTTTGTTTTATTTTCTTCTTCAGCATTCTCATCAGAGTCCGCAAGATGATCAAAGAAAGTATCGAGATACCAGGGACAGTTCTCATACCAATCACCCTTAGTGGCATGAGCACGCCATTTTTGTTCGGCTATCATTTCTGGAGATAACCCCCATTCTTGCATCTCTTCTTCGGTGTGATGGACTGCCAAGCTGTAATCACCACCAAATCCTAGCTGCAGCACTCTAAACTCACAGTTCCCTAGATTGTTAAGGTACTCAAATTGCTCCACCGTCCACTTGAACCACCTCATGAGAAAGACACGAATAGCCAGCCCATGGGATATGATTACAAGATTTAGGTCATCCGAAGGGTCCTGGTGAAGCCTGTTCATGTCTATGTCCCTCCATAGTGATTCAAGAAAACCTGCATGTTTTAAGTTGGTGCTTTCATACATGCCTATCAATTTCTAATAGCAAAGCCTGTAAACCAGCATCTTTTCACCAACGCATTTCAGATGCAATGGAATGCATAAAGATACCATACAACATTATCCTAAAATTAACCAGGTGTGTACATGAAATTTTGGAGCACTTAGTTCACTTTCCATCTAAAAGCTTGTAAAAAAGACTGGTAAAGCTTAAAAGGAACATCCCCATAGTCCATTCCAGAAGACTGTTCCAACCATTCAAAAATAAATGAATTGCCACGTTAAAATTAAAATGTCAGGGGGTGATCCGATTATATGTCCAGTGTAGTCATTGGAATTTATCCTATTTCTTAGATAGTAAGTGATCATATTTCCGTTAAATGAATTTCTATCATCACTGTAACACATTATCCATCAGCAAGTTGCACCAGTTTTAACTAGGAACGAAGCTCTTTTATGGTACAATTTCCAGTCTTAAATTAAGATATTCTGCATCACGAAGCACTTCTGCAACTTTTTCAGGGAAACACAGATAAGAATCTGTACTTGCTATCTTATTGCCTCGCCATTTGTTGCAATTAGTATTCCTATACTGTTAGCCATCACTATAACTTCTTTCACTAAATTTCAAGAAAGCAATTTTTCTAATTTAGATGCCAACAGACGACCTAAGAGGGAAAAACACCTTTATCAGCTCTCAGAAGTAAGAACAAATGCAAGGAAAGATAGTTGCTTTAACTTGTAAAAAAGGAGTCCGTTCTCTAGAATTTTTTTCCTATCGATATTGACCAGAATCTTCCTTCCCTCTAATTCATACTAATCAAGTACTCTTTGCAGCCTTGTTCTTTTGATATTTTTGGCACTCAAGTCCATTGAAAAACCGATTACCTGAACTCGAGTTAATTTCGTCTAATACTATGTTTTTCTTAGCCTTTTTCTTGTAACTAGGGGGACTTGCACATGCTATGTGTGTGATTGCAAAGAAGTGAGATAGAGAGAGAATGAGAGGGAAAAGATAAATTAGAAGAAGTTTGAAGAATATAGGCGTATTATTGGTATTTTATAGGTGGACACCAAACCCCATTTCTCACTTAATTAATAACATGGATTTTTTTAGCCCTCAAGCTCTCTTAGAAAACAATTACCTAAACTCGAGTTAATTTCTTCTCATACCTTTTATTTTTTTGTTAGTCCCAAAAGATAAAAGAATACATCAGACCCTGTTTGGCTCTGGTTCACTGAAAATGCATAACCTGTAAACAATGCTTTTCCCTACAACCTATGCTATTCTATGTAATCCCCGGCCCCAACCCTTTTTTTTTTTCAAACCAACAGTTGATATCCAAAACTACAAAGATACAGAAAATGAAGAAATTAAAGGAGAAGGCATATGGCTTGTCATTCTCCCCATTAGTGTGTCATGTGTGTAGAAGAAACAGTGAGAGCATTGATCATCTTTTTCTTCACTATTGTATTGGGCTAGGACTATCGCATAAATTATATTTGCTGACAATAATGGATTGTATAATTGCTCAGCAGAGGACATGGTGAATTGGGGAGAATTAAAGGACTTCTAATCTTTGGAATTGTGCAACCATGGGCATTTAGTGTTTGTTCGGATGGAAAGAAATGGAAGAATATGTGAATGCAAAGTTGAGAGGGAGGAACATCTACAAGATAGAGTTGAATCATTAACTTGTCCATGGGATCAGTTATTAAAATATTTTTAGGGATATTCCCTTCTTATTCCTCTTAACAGGACTAAAGTGCGTGAAGGCGATTTGTCTATTTTGGATCCGAGTTGCTCTGGTGTATGGATTTCTTGTCCACAACTTCTGCATTTTCTCCTTTAGCAATAAAAACTATCCAAATAAAAAAGTAGAAATTAACATTTTTTTTTCAATCCTAAAGAGGCCAATGTTTGGAGACATACTAGAAAAGATTGTTATTTGATTACTACAGTTGATTCTAAGTTTTCATCAGAGTCATTTTTTTCTTCTTATAGTTTTTAAGAATCTAGTAACAACTGTCTAATAATATTAAACACCTTTATGTCTGTGTAAACCGAAAAAAGTCAAATGACATGAGCCATTCATCCTTATATATAATTCATGGAATTCATACACTATCTTTCCTAGTAATTGCTTTTTTTCTTTGAACAAGCAATAGTAAATGACTTTTTTTTTTTTTTTTTAATTTGTGAGAAAACCAAACCAAACCAAACCAGACAAAACAAAAAGACAGCACCAGCAACAACAGAGACAAGAAAAGGGTGAAAAACATCATATTAAAAGCAAACAATGAAATCATCAAACAGACTTACTCGAAACCCGATCGAACACATCTGCAGCGGATTCTCCCTCCGGGAACCTATAAAAGAACCTCCCAAACCTCTCTCTGGTTTCTTTAATCATCTTCATTCTCTCTGCCACTTGAAAATTCCCAAAATCCTGTTCCCTAACTCTACACTCCTCTCTCACCCCAATCACTCTGTTCTTCGAGAACGCCCTTCCGATCTCTCTCAATGTCGATCGTGTCCTCTCGTACGGCGACACGTAGAAATAGGCTTTCCAGTTGTCGGAATGGCCGTCGTCGGAGATCACTAGCCGAATCTTGGTTCCGGCGAGCTTCGCCTGAGAAATGCCCACTTGGGTTAGTGGGATTTTGTTGTCCGGCGTGGTGGCGTAAGCCTCCTTGTCCAAATTGCCTTGGCTCTCGCCGTGGCGAACAAGGATTATGCGCTTTGGTAAATATCTACGGTGTTTTGAGTGATTGATCATGGCGGTCTATATGATTTGAATCTACGTTAACAGAAGATGATCGGGTAGGTGTTTTATGCGTTTGTATGTTCTTGGGGGGTTCTTCTTCTTCTAAAATTTCAAGTTGCTGTTGGGAGTTTGAATGAATCTGTGGATCTACATTGATGATATTGATTGGAAGCAAGAAAATCTTCGTGTTGACCAAGGATTTGAGGATGAACACAGGACAACGGGGTATGGAACACTTCCACCTTTTCAAGATTGCCCTTTCTGTAAGTCGGTGGTGGCTTGTCTATGCAACAATAGGCAGTTCGGAACTGGGATAAAGCAGTATATGGTTATCCAATTATGATTGTCCACGTCAAAAGAAAAAAAGGAGAGAATTATAACCAGATGTTTTGTCACTTATCTGTTAGATAACTTAATATTTAAAATATTATATTCAAATCCTCTTAAATTTTTACGTTCGTAACACTTAAACTCTTATTATAAATATATTTATTAATAAATTACACTTAAACTCTCTTGAAGTTTATATGTATAAAATATTTAAATTCTTTAAGTTTAAAATATTACAGTTAAATAAAAAATACTTCAATTAAAGATAAAATATCAAATATTTTAAATTTTGTGATTAAAATTCATATTCTATTTATCTTTTATTAAAATAAAATCAAAAATAAAAATTGAATTTTTTCTTTAAAAATCGTAATTTGTATACAATTATATTTTCTATTGGAATTTAACGTGATAGTTTAAACGACTAAATTAAAATACAAAATTATCTCAATTAAAACTAAAAGATATTGTGTCTATTACAATTTAACCCCTTATTAAATTTTTTTAGTTTTATTCTAATAGATAATAAAATTATATACTAATTATTATTTTTTTTTAAAAAAATTAAATTTTTATTTTTGATTTTATTTTAATAAATGATATAATAGAAAATGAATTTTTGATAAAAAATTTATGTTCTGTTATAAATGACTTAGACCTCTTATTTAATTTTTTACTTTTATTCCAATAGATATTATAATTGTATATTAATTACAATTTTTTAAGAAAAAATTAAAATTAAAATTTTAATTTTATTTCAATAAATGTTACAATAAAATAGTAATTTTAATTGTAAAATTTAAAATATTTAATATTCTATATTTGATTAGAATATTTTTTTTTGTCTAAATATAATATTTTAAACTGAAAAAATTTAAGTATTATATACCTACAAACTTCAAGGGAGTCTAAGTGTAATTTATTATTAGATATATTTATAATAAGGGTTTAATTGTTAAACGCGTATAAATTTTAAAGAGTAAAAAGAAAGGATATCCTTGATATTTGGTCAAATAACACCATTAACACTTCTTGGCATTTTCATACTTGCGTGGCAATTTCAATCCACGTTAATATTTGACTGACAATAACAGTTGGATTAAAAAATATTTTTACCCTCCATCTGAAAAATAAATAAACAAGTATTTAAACTTATGTCCAAACCCCGTACCCATTTGAGACCTATACCCATGACCCATAAAAACAGGGCAACTCCTTCTCATAGTGTGTTTGAATTAGGTATTAGGGTTCACTTGATTGTACAATCTCATATATTTCATATCCATTCAACTAAAACAAAAAATTAATCTAAAATACATGTCTCTTCTTCCCTTGTTTCATTCACGTATTGAAAAATGAAACTCAGGCTTTATGTACAAAGTCAAACACTTTTAAAGCGAGAGGTCTATCTTAGACGACAAAAATTTCATAAAATACACAGTTGACAAAAATACTTATGATAAAAGAGATGATTTAAAAATACTCTCATATCCCACCACCCCCACCCCCCCCTAGCCCTACCCCTACCCCCATCCCCACCCCTCCCCCTTCCCCCGACAGGGAACTACACGACAACGAACTAAAAGATAGTAAACTAAAAACTCAATGTGTTTTGCTATATATTGTGAATAAAAGTTCACTGTTATATAAGATTTTGCTATATATTGTGAATAGAAGTTCACTATTATATAAGAGCTAAATTTTTTAGTGTACTTTTGAATAGTTCACTGTTGGGTGGATAGTTCAAGATTAATTAATATTATAATTGGTAAAAAAAAATATAATATAATCTTTCCACCACCAAGATTAATTAAAGTGACATTAATACCCTCAAACATTCATCAAATTATATAGCAAGATAACATTCTCATCCTTTTCTGGACTGAGCCAACAACTCTTTTAAGTTTAAATTGAAGCAAACCTTCATCTAAAGGTGACTTACAAGTACCAAAAATAACCTCGCATGCATAAACCCTAAACAAACCAATAGAGAAAGAGGTGACGAGCAAAAAAAATTGAAAAATATCAAGAATCTACAATTCTAATTGAAGCAAATTTTCATCAAATTGGATCCTTTTTTCACCTCCATCATTTGATTGTTAGTCAAAAGGGATTGATTATAATTTATAGGAACTTATGGACAGAGTATAATTAGTACAAACTACAAGGATAGTTTCATAATTTCACCCCCAAAAAGAACATTTAGTAGAAAATTCTACCATTAAGAAGAATCTGACATAGATCAACAAAAAAAAAGACTCTAACATACAATAGAAAGGTTATAACCCAATTTAGACAACACGAAATTCAATCATCTTAATTTCTCATCGTGCAAGCAAAGAAACAATTGAATGACTTTGTCGTTCAATTGAGAAGAATAAAATTCCACAGATTTGGCGTTTGATGTTACAGTACTCTTGGAGGATATGACGTTGCCAATCTCTCAATTATCGTTGTGGAAGTTAAGACAAATCCGATCTCTTTGGCGATCTCATCGATCTGGATCTCAGGTCAACAACATCAGAAAGCTTCGTATCTAATTGATGGGACATTCTGGCAACCAGTAAGGGAGAAACACGCATCACTAGTTCAATCCTCGACATGGGAGATCCTCCTCAGCATCATACCTCATGCGCGTATGTCATTAATGCATAGTACTTTGGCATTCAGTGATGACTCACCTCGGCGTCGACCACCATGAGTCCTCAATGTGAGAGATCCTCCTCGACATCATGCCTTACTTGTATGTCAGCGACGCCTTAATATTTCAGCATCTGGCGATGAGTCACCTCGATGTCGACCACCATGCAAAAGGATAAGTTCTGACTTCAAAGATAAAGATGATGAACAAAGGCAAACATGTCTGTGATCAAGATAAAACTACCTTTGAGTATTACGGCTTGGGGGCAGGGTTAACTTTCCAAGGCAATCAGAATTATTAGAAAGGATTCAATGACCAATGATAGAGACGTGTGTACTGAACAATTAATTTCTGGCCCTTCATAGGGGATATTGACAAAAATGCCCCCATGCATGCATGACCATGCCTAGGGTACATTAAATAATTAAAAAAAAAGTAAGAGACACATTGATTGATCGGCAGGGCCGAGAATGGTACATTAAGTGCCCAGGGACCTGAGTGCAAACCTGCAGAAACACCTAGTGCAAAGAAAAACAAACACTCTGATCGAGATCTACGTACCAAATGTTGTCCCCTATACGAACCAACCAGGAGCTTTCTTTTCGAGGGACCTTACTATCTGTCTCAGTCAACTCCTGTAAGGTATAAATAGCACACTCAAGCTCAAAGTAAACGTATGCAACTCTTGACTAAGCAATATAACAGTGCTCTCAAACCCTTTCTCGAATAATGACTTGACCGTCAGAGAGATCACACTGAAGAACACTCAAGCGGCCTTCTAACTCTTATTTCTTGAGTGACAGTTCACTATTGAGGGCTTTTTTGTGAGTTGATCGTTTACAAAGGAGGGTTTCGTTATTGTACACTACCCACCTTCCTTAAAGTCTTATTTGTTTCTCCATAATTGTTGGCGGTTGGAAGCACAAGAGGGGTTTCATTTAAGGGATGTTTCAGGGAGGTGCGAGCTCATCAAGTGTGAGATCTATCATCTCATTTATTATGCAAAAATTATCTCGCACAATTTAGCGCTGTCTGTGGTAAACGACCAAGATTTCTTATGACAATGACCATGTAGAACACGTGTTTGAAAGGAAAAAGTCCTCAACAAAAAAAAGATAGATGTATTAGCTCTATCTATGTCTAGGATGGAGAACCAGGTCGAAAGTGTCAATGAAGAGCATCCAAGTCACTCCAAAGAGAAGACCCACCAAACTGAACCAAGTCTTGGGGGAGAGAGGGGAGCCCCCCTGGCCCACCACCTCGTCGACCTCATCGAGGAATAGTTGGGGAGTCGTTTGATGCAGATCGAGGAGAACAATGTGAATGTTCTCAACAAACACAACGAGTTTGCTATCTCCGACGGGGTTTTCCAGAACATACAACCATCAAAAGAATGCTTTGTTAAAGAGGTGGGGCACAACAACTTGAAGAACCGCCTTGGTAATGGGGTAGGAGTCTCCAAGGCTCTAAAATGACCGAGGGCAAATGGACAAAATCCAGAGGTTCCAACCAAAAGGTTCAAACCCTTCGCTCAAAACAACCTCCGCCAATGACTATCCAAGTGAGGGGGTGAAGAGGGGTTTGATGAAGGGTCGTAAAGGATGTAGGAGCCAAACGACATGCAACATGTTGTAACCATGGTGAGAAAAAAATGCTATGGGGACGAGGAAGGCCTAAGATCCAAACTAGACTCAAAGAGAATGGAGATGTCTGTTCGTGACTGCGACATGGATACCAATGCTGAAGTCATCCAGTTACCAATCACTAGGAACATTAGGGAAGTGGAGGTGCCAAAAAAGGTCTTCGTCCTGCAGTTCAAAGTTTACGAGGGATGCTTTAACCCGAAGGCCCACCTTCGACAGTATAAATAGTTGATGTCACTATATCACGCAGATCATAGATTGTTGTGTTGAGTGTTCTTGTTGAGTCTTGATGGTGAAATGATATGATGCCTTTTCGACAAATAACATTGGATCTTGGAAAGAACTAACCAGACAGTTTGTCGCGCGATTAATCATCGAAAATAAACACCCCAAATATGTGGGGTCCCTATAGAATCTTCGGTGAAAGAAGGTAAAACGCACTGTTAATAAGCTACTTGCTACTGGGAGGAGGTCAACGAGGTGGAGGGGTGCTCCAAAGTAATGACAACCACTCCTTTCTGGCTTGGGTTATCCTAAGACACTGACCTGTACAGATCTTTGACAAAGCGGACACCGGCGGACATGGGCAAGTTGATGGCTTATATCATCAAGTACTCGAAGGTGGAATATGAGTTGGTAAGGAGTCGGGAGAAGAGTTTGGCTCCGAAGAAAAAAGACAAGGAG